TGGCTTAAGAGCAAACACACTGGTAGATCCAAAGCTTTTTTTTTTTTGTCAACTATGCTTTCCCCAGTTGGAAATCTTAGTAAGGAGTATATTTCCATGGCCACCATACTCATCAGTAGAGCACACTAACAGAAAAGCAGTTTTTTTTTTTTGATTCGTATTACACTTTTTTCATATGAAACAGGAATTTTAGATGGTGAAAACATCCAGAATCTCACCCTTTTATTTATTTTTTAGAGACAGTTTTTTTTTTTTTTACCCAGGCTGGAGTGCAATGGCATGATCTCAGCTCACTATTTTTTTTTTTTCTTGGGCTCAAGTGATCCTCCTCTCTCAGCCTCCAGAGTATTTTTTTTTTTAGGTGTGCACCACTATGCCCAGCTTTTTTTTGTATTTTGTGTTTTTTTTTTTTTTCACCATGTTTACAGGCTGGTCTCCAACGCCTGAGCTCAAGCAAGCCACCCTCCTTGGCCTCCCAAGGTACTGAAGTACTGGGATTACAGGTGTGAGCCACCACATCCAGCCTGGACTCTCACTATTTTAACATAACTATTTTTTTTTTTTTTTGTGCTCCAGTTTTTCCTTAATATATGTATACTTTGATATAGTTTTTTTTTTTAGTGACATAAATTTGTGTCATGATTTTTAAAAAATTTGATATTTTTTTTTTTGTTCCTGTTGCTACATATTCTTTAGCTGTTTTGTTTTTGCCATTTTTTTTTGTTTCTTTTTCGGAGACGGAGTTGGTCAGTATGTCGCCCGGACTGAATGCACATGGTGCGAGCGCGATCTTGGCTCGTCACTGCAACTGTGCCTCCAGGGTTCAAGCGATCTCTCTTGGCCCTCAGCTTCCAACGCTAGCTGAGATTACACACACCCACCACCTGTATGCCAGGGCTAATTTTTGCCATTTTTTAGGTAGAGACGGGGGTCTTTGCCCATGTTGCCCGGCTGCCGTCTCATAACCCCAGACCTCAGGTGAATCCACCTGCCTCGGCCTCAAAGTACACAGGTTGTGAGCCACGCGCACCTGGGCCTCTTTATTTCTTGAATGGCAACTATTTATCATTCATAGGCAGATGTTATGGAAAGAAACACTCAACTGCTGGGTTCCTTTGGGGCTAAAATGTGTGTATGTATGGATGGTATCCTAAAGAAACCTGATATGCCTCCCGAAAGCCTCTCGTGAAAACTTTAGAAGAATTGTTAGACTCCAGAAAGCTAACGCAGCCCCAATTAATGAACTCCCTTTGTCTGCCAGCAATTGTAATCCTTCCAGACCTTTTTTGTTCCCATCCCACTGTAAGGTCCAGAAAAGTGTTAACCTATAGCTCCCTGTCATGATGCTCCAAGCTCAAAGATTGTCCTCCATGTTGACTGATTAGTATACCCCTCCAGAGGCCAGGCTGCAAGATCTAATGTCTTGGTGTCTCGGTTTGGCGTCAGCCTCGGTGTGAAAATGTATGGTGGTACATAGGTGGTTATGTGCTTTTTGTAGGGCAAAGTTGTTGCTAATATAGTTAGGCTGTGGCAGACATCCTGAATCAAAGGTGTCCTCCAAAACTGGCAAAACAACTATTAGGCTCTGGAGGGCAATTCGCGCAAATTCAGTTTTTTTTTTTTAAATGTTCTCCCTCACGACCCAGTTGTTGGTCTCGGGGGAGTATGCGTTATACTAAGAAACACATCTTATATTTTTGTTGTTTATTGAAGAATATATTCCCAAATGGAATTATGGCCATCAAAACGTTATTGGCATATTCATTTTTTTTTTTTTTTTTTTTTTTTTGAGACGGAGTCGTCTGCTCTGCCGGCCCAGCTGGAGTCAGTGGCCGGATCTCAGCTCACTGCAAGCTCCGCCTCCCGGGTTCACGCGCATTCTCCTGCCCTCAGCCTCCGGAGTAGCTGGGACTACAGGCGCCCGGCCACCTCGCCCGGCTAGTTTTTTTTTTTGTATTTTTTAGTAGGGACGGTTTCCACTGATGTTAGGCGGCGCAGGGGGATGGTCTCGATCTCCTGACCTCGTGATCCGCCCGTCTCGGCCTCCCAAAGTGCTGGGATTACAGGCTTGAGCCACCGCGCCCGGCCGGTATTCATACTTTTAAAACTAAAGACACACAGAACTGATCTGCTTTTCAAAAGTAGTGTGTCTTACAGGAAAAACTCTTCAATAGTATCCTTTCATAATAGTAAAAGTCACTTTGTTTTCACTTACTGTGAGTTTCTTTCTTAGTGTTAAATGTATGCAGTAACTCTGCATCTGTATTTTTTGTTTCAAAGTTGTTTTTTTTTTTTTTGAGACAGGGTCTCACTGTATTGCCCAGGCTGGAGTACAGTGGTGTGATTTCGGCTCGCTGCAACCTCTGCTTCCTAGGCTCAAGCAATTCACGTGCCTCAGCCTCCCGAGTAGCTGGGACTACAGGCATGCATCACCACACCTGGATAATTTTTTATATTTTTAGTAGAGACGGGGTTTCACCATGTTGCCCAGGCTGGTCTCAAACTCATGAGCTCAGGTAGTCTGCCTGCCTCACCCTCCCAAAGTGTTAGGATTATAGGCGTGAGCCACTGCAGCCTGGCCCATGAGTTCATATTTGTTTATTTCTGTGTATTTTCAATGAAATTAACTGGCATGATAAAAACTGTATAAATGAGAAGTTACTACCTCTGAAAAAGCATTTTATAACATATAAGGCTTATTTATAACCTACAAGTGCTTGTTACTGAGGTCCTCCAGAAAATAAATAAAATGTATATAAAAGGCAAATAGTTTTCGGTATTATATACCACCAATGATTTTATATTATTTGTGAATCCAGACTATATTAGTACAGAGCTTGAAATCTTAACCTATGCCCTTAAATTTTATTTTGCAGAGTATATGCAAAAAGGTAGAAGACAGTGAACAAGCAGTAGATAAACTAGTAAAGGATGTAAACAGATTAAAACGAGAAATTGAGAAAAGGAAACGAGCACAGATTCAGGCAGCACGTAAGTAAACAACACGTCTCTACTTTCTGTGCTAAAAATTTTTATTTTTTATTTTTTTGAGATAGAGTGTCGCTCTGTCACCCAGGTTGGAGTACAGTGGTGTGATCTCAGCTCACTGCAACCTCTGCCTGCTGGGTTCAAGCAATTCTTCTGCCTCAGCCTCGCAAAAAGCTGGGATTCCAGGTGCCTGCCACCATGCCTAGCTAATTTTTTTGTATTTTTAATAGAGACAGGGTTTCACCATGTTGGCCAGGCTGATCTTCAACTGCTGACCTCAAGTGATCCACCCGCCTCAGCCTCCCAAAGTGCTGGGATTATAGGCGTGAGCCACTACGCTCGGCTCTTCCTGTGCTTTTAAAGAACATAATACTACAGTAGCTATATTGCTGACATGAAAGAACACAACTTTAATTTTGTCTTAGAATACTGTGGCATATAAATTAGAATTCAGAATTATGTATGTTATTCTCACTTTAGATAAAACTGTTAAAATCTTTTTGACTTAATTTTACAATAGTTAATTATAAAAGCTTTGTAGAAGAAATGTTGTATGTTGAACTGTTACTCTATTTTGTTTAGGAGAGAAGAACATCCAAAAAGACCCTCAGGAGAATATTTTTCTTTGCCAAGCATTACGGACCTTTTTTCCAGATTCTGAATTTCTTCATTCATGTGTTATGTCTTTAAAAAGCAGACATGTTTCTAAAAGTAGCTGTAACATCAACCACCACCTCGACATAGTAGACAATCTGACCTTAATGGTAGAACACACTGACATTCCTGAAGCTAGTTCAGCTAGTACACCACAAATCATTAAGCATAAAGCCTTAGACTTAGATGACAGATGGCAATTTAAGAGATCACGGTTGTTAGATACACAAGATAAACGATCTAAAGCAGATACTGATAGTAGTAACCAAGATAAAGCGTCCAAAATGAGCAGCCCAGAAACGGATGAAGAAATTGAGAAGATGAAGGGTTTTGGTGAATATTCACAGTCTCCTACATTTTGATCCTTTTAACCTTAAAAGGAGATTTTTTTTATTTGGCTGATGGGTAAAGCCAAACATTTCTATTGTTTTTACTATGTTGAGCTACTTGCAGTAAGTTCATTTGTTTTTACTGTGTTCACCTGTTTGCAGTAGTACACAGATAAGTCTTAGTGCATTTATTTCACAAAGTGCTTTTTCAAACATGAGATGCTTTTATTTCCAAACCTTTTTTTTCACCTTTCACTAAGTTGTTGAGGGGAAGGCTTACACAGAAACATTATTTAGAATTGGAAAAGTGAGACCAGGCACAGTGGCTCACACCTGTAATCCCAGCACTTAGGGAAGACAAGGCAGGAGGATTGAGGCCAGGAGTTAGAGACCAGCCTGGGCAACGTATTGAGACCCATCTCTATTAAAAAAGAAAAAATTGGAAAATCAAGAATAGCCTTATTTTCACAATATGGAAGGAAATTTATATGAAAAAAGTACATTATGGCTAGAGTTGCCAGATAAAATGCTGGATACCATGCAATAAATTTGCAAAACATCATCTAAAATTTAAATTTGTCCTACATTTGTACTTGCTAAATCTGGCAGCCTTAATTATTACACAACTATAATGCAACACAAACAGTAATCTCTCCCCTAGAGTCCCTTGCACAAAATTTAGCAAATCCATCATTTTGAATACAGTACAAGCCTGGTAATCCAGTGTATTTGGGATAGGCCAGTGGAACTCAGAATTGGTACATATATACATACATGTCTATCATATTCAATGTCTATTAGGTGTAAATCATCTTTATGTAAAAGACACTACTGGTTTGAGGATAGACTTGTCTAGGAATATTTTGTCCTCCTGTGACAACACCACTATCCATCCCAATGTAACATTTCTACAAAGGGAAGATACCTTAACCAGGCATACTTACATTTGCTAGTTGGAAAATCATTCTGAGCAGTTTTAATTCCATTCAATTGAATGGATTATTGTATGAGCTATTTGGGAATCAGATATAAATGAAAATCACACAGAACCACTTTATTCAACATATGTAAAATGTGATGAGTGTTAACATTTTAAATAAGCAATCTGCTTAATGGACATTGGTATGAAGGGAAGTGTCATTCTTTACCTCACTCCTCAAACACTTTTGTATCCAAAGTTTGGTTTGAGTCAATATTGGCATCATACAACCACTTACTGTAAAATAAGTTTATTGGTGGAAATGTGATATAATTTATTCTCGATATCTGATGTTACAAACTTTAGGGTCCTTGAGATATGCGGGATCCTTGTATGTAACTGGCATAAACCCTGTAAAGAGATAATTAAAGTTCTTGAGAAAACATAATGAACAAAACTTCAGCTAGCTCAATTCAGTTGTTGAGGTGTTCTTTCTTACCCAGTATTTGAGCTCTCTTAATTGCTTTTGTGATTTCTTTCTGTTTCTTCCCACAAAGACCTGTAAAATAAAAAGCTTTCTTCTTCATAAAAAATGTCAATATTTAAAGTTTGCAATTTTTTTTTTTTGAGACAGAGTCTCGCTGGAGTACAGTGAGGCGCACTCTCGCCTCACTGCAACCTCTGCCACCCAGACTGAAGCAATTATCTTGCCTCAGCCTCCTCAGTAACTGGGATTACAGGTGTGCACCACCACACCCGGCTAATTTTTTTGTATTTGTAGTAGAGACAGGGTTTCACCATATTGGCCAGGCTAGTCCTGAACTCCTCACCTCAGGTGATCCGCCCACCTCAGCCTCCCAAAGTGCTGGGATTACAGGCGTGAACCACCACACCCAGCCTCAACAAGTTTTTAAGTCAAGGGTTGGTAAATCATTTTTGTCAAGTGCTAGAATAATAATATTCTAGGATTTCTGGGCCATACAGTCTCCATCACCACCACTCAACTCTGCTGTGGTAGCTCGAAAACAACCATATGGCACTATGTAAACAAAACTGCAAAAACAAGTGGGGTTGGGCACAGTGGCTCATGCCTGTAATCTCAGCACTTTGGGAGGCCTAGGTGGGCGGATCACCTGAGGTCAGGAGTTCAAGACCAGCCTGGCCAACATGGAGAAACCCCATCTCTACTAAAAATACAAAAATTAGCCAGGCATGGTGGTGCATGCCTGTAATCCCAGCTACTCGGGAGGCTGAGGCATGAGAATCGCTTCAACCCAGGAGGCAGAGGTTGCAGTGAGCCAAGATTGTGCCAGTGCACTCCAGCCTAGGTGACAGAGTGAGATTCCATCTCAAAAAAAAAAAAAAAAAGGGGGCATTTGCATATGATGAACCTGATCAAGATAAAAAGGGGGCAGGTCGGATTTGACCTATGGGCCATAGTTTGCTGACACCAAGTTTTAAGTATCAATCTAGGAATGATTATAGGATCTTCCAAAACACCAACAACAGTTTTATAAAGCCCAAGTTTTCTATATAGTCAACTCTGCATAAGACAGCAAAATAATAATCCCCTTGGCCTAGGAGGCTTTTTCATAGTAACTAGCTCTAGTCCCTGTAGTATCTGATCTAGTAGTAATTTATAGCACAATTTGAAAATTTGACAGTTTTCTTAAATGACAGAAATACATTGATATAATTCTTATCTACATATATATTCCCATGATAAAAAACAAAATACCTGTAATGTGCCTTCCATAAATGCATCCAGTAAATGGAGAAACAAACTGGGACAAAAGCTGTTTTGGAGTTTTATTCGGAGGGGGAAAAAAAAGTATTTGTTATTTATTTCTGAATATGTAAATTTCAAAAAACAACCTTCAAGTTATATAAAGCTTTACTACATTTCAGACATTTCATGAAATATGAGAAAAAATATTGTTATACATCCTGTTACCTTTTAAATATTTTCTAGTGTGTCAAAAGTCTATATATAATTAAATAGCAGATTAATCAGCATATTCATTCAATGTTAAATCTGTTTTCTTGACCTCCACAGATACTTTTCTAAAATATTGCTTGAAACAAGCTACTAAAAAACTTCATCTATCATGACAAGCTATCACATTACCCTCTGATAATAATCATTAAGATAAATTATCAGAGGGTAATGAGATTTTCCAGAGGTACAAGTACACCAGGCATTTGCTATAATTTATGTTTTATTTAAATACTTATTTAGAACTTTCTAGGTGCCAGTCATTATTCTTGGCACTTTGCATAATCTTCCTAGTATGTGTGTTTCTGTAATTTCTTGGTTCTCTCTCAAAGGCAGCTATCACCTTATACTATTGTCAATATACAGAATTTTTTTTTTTTTTTTTGACAGTTTCGCTCTTGTCACCCAGGCTGGAGTGCAATGGCACGATCTCGGCTCACTGCAACCTCCGCCTTCTGGGTTCAAGCAATTCTCCTGCCTCAGCCTCCCAAGTAGCTGGGATTACAGGCATGCACCACCACACTCAGCTAATTTTTGTATTTTTAATAGAGACGGGGTTTCACCACGTTGGCCAGGCTGGTCTCAAAATCCTGACCTCAGGTGATCCGCCCGCCTTGGTCTCCCAAAGTGTTAGGATTACAGGCGTAAGCCACTGCGCCCGGCCAACATACAGAACTGTAGCGCTACTCATTTGCCCCAAATTTGCAACTTCTAACTTGCTGAGAGTTAGACAAGAGATAAGTAACATGTGAATCAGTGATATGGGTGGTGAGGTAAAGAGATCAGCTTCACCAGATGAGCTTTTTCCAAAGTTCTGACCCTCCCCAATTGAGAATTTTGACAGAATTTTAACTCTGTCAAAAAAAAAAAAAAAATTACAGTGAGCTATTAAGATGTTTGGTGTAGTGAAAAAAACAGAGTGGAAATAATAGTAAGTGGGGAGAGCCAAGGTGCTTTTACTTGAATAAAACAGAGATATGCTTATACATAGAATTATAACCAAATTTGAAATTATGAAGTTACTAAAACAGTTACCTCTACAAAAGTCTGCTATAAACTGACTTCTCTTTAAGCAGATCTATCAGAAGAAAAACCCTAAAATATAGTGAAGTAAAACCAGATCTCACCTGTACATTCTTATAATCTACACGCTTTCCACACAAGATACATTTCTTAAGAGGTTCTTTATAAGGATTTTCCATTGTAATGGGCTAGGGAAAAAAACGAAAAGTGTGATAATAGGATGTGTTAATTCTGAATTTTAAAAGGTTACTATTCTACATTCAAATCCATTCAAAGGATTAGTTATACCTTTCTTACTGTGTACATATTTTATATAAGCACTTTATTTTGTTTCAGTTTAGCCTACAAATGAACTCATGGGAAGATTCTGGAATAAAGTACAATCTTTGTAGAATAAAAGAGTTTACGGCAGAACAAAAATGATGTCTGATAAGAAAGTGATTGCTGCAATGCTTTGCTCAGATTGTAGATAATGAAAAAATTTTTACATTTAAGAAAACTTGTAACACAATAGATAACATACGGCATTCTTAAATGAGTGCAATCCCTAATTTATCCATCTCCATGTCTCTATCAAGTATTTTTTCACTATTTTTATACATAATGGCCCATGACTTACTGTAATAAAAGGTTGTTTGACTTTATCACCCCAGGCTACTATATAAGTTTGCATTAGCCTTTTTGGCTTTTCTGTTACCACCATTGCCCTAATGCTTCTGCCACAGTGCCTCCCTCCTACCGTCAGTATGGCTGTCTCCAGGATAGAGGTTCTTAATCTAGAAATGGCTCTGAAGCCCATGACTCCCTGTAATCGTATGCAAAACTCCAAATGAATGGAACTTTGTGCCTTTTTCTGTGGAGAGGGTCCATAACTTTGATTAGAGACAAAGTGGGATTTATGAACTAAAAAAGGAATAATGTCCCTTTACTTTCTTAAAGTATGGTGCATGGATTAGATTACCAAGACAGATGCTCAGAGAAACTAGACAAGTTCTTTTATTTTTTCCAATTCTTCAAACTTTCCATTTTACATTCAGCTCACGTGACTACTCTTCAGCTCTGTGCCAAGTGCTTTGTATGTTCTGATTAGTGTCAAAGTACCTTTGCATGTAGTAAGAACCTGTGCTTTCAAGTCCATGCTAATACTATAGCCAACCTATAGCTAAGCTTTGTACAGTCTCTTTTCAGTTATCTAAAATTCTACTCACCCAAACTACCTTTTAAAATTGCCAAATCATTTGCTTATAAAGGGCTATGTAAAAAAACCGATTCCCAAATCACATAGCCTGAAATTTAAGATCTAGGAAGAAAAATATGGTATTATAGCAGCTTTGCTTCTAATCTAGGAATTCCCCTAGTTCAAAACTCAACTGACTACAATCAATTCATCATCATTTCTGAACTCAGAGTAATTATCTAATTGTTTTGTCCTACAGCAGAACTCTATTCAAGTAGCTAAAATAAAAGATGTTAGAGTCTAATACCAGTTCTCGTTTTAAAAAGAAAAAAACATTTGGTCATATTTGCAAATGCCTTACTAATAGAAAAAAAAATTCTTACCAGGTCCTCGTTGCTGGATACCTGTTTATATTGTGAACAACCTCTTCTCCAAAGCACTGTGATTAAACAGAAACAGCAATTAACTATTTATTTTTCATAGCTGAATAGCTAAATATTTTTGTTTTTATGGAGACAGGGTGAACTAAGGGACACGATATTAAACGTTTTGTATTCATTATATTCAGAATGACTGGTTAAAAACCTTTATATTTGGGACAGAGTAAGACTCAACATGGGTGTGCTTTCCAGGGCTTTGGGGGAAAAGCACGTATTTTCCCACCCATACCTGCTCTCTTTCTGACATTGATTTTCCCTTCATTCCATGGTTAGAGAAAATTCTTAATGCAAATTCTTACAGGAGAAGCAACAGGCACTATCATACAAAAAGAAAATGAGTAACAGACCCGTCCCAGAGAGAATTTATAGAGAAACACAGAGGAGATAAAATGGCAAAAATTACACAATTTTGTTCTGTTTGGGGACCTCAGACAACTGGAATTTGCTGCTGGGCGACTCTGGAAATGCCCCTTCCTTACTAAGATTATCCGGAGATCTTAGGAAAGTCTCTGCTTTTTAATTAAGAACCACTCTAGCTTCCTCATACGTTTAAAGAAAGGAGTGGATTAGACGACTCTAAAACAGTCAAAGGCGATTACAGATTCCCAACCATCTTGGAGAAACTTAACTGCCTAGAAACTAGAGTCGTTTTGCTAACAGGGACGACTCCACCAACCATTAGGACTAAGGTTAATGCCTGCAACGCTACAACGGAGCATAGAATATGGAGACTTTACCCGTGTGAGTCCCGGGATGTGTAAGGCTGACAGCAGCCGTTACCAAGCGTGTCAACTTCTTCCTCCCTAGACCACCGCAAACAGCAACCATAGCGGCCATGGTTCCGCGTTTGTTCCACTTCCTTTCGCTCCGAATCGTTCCGAAAGGCCCCTTCCGCTGCTTTTCCCCTGTGGGCTCGAGTACGCAGTTCAAAGGTTCCGCAGGAGAACGCTGAGGACCCGCGAGAGTAGGTGAGGTTTTTCAATACGCATGCGCAGCACCTTTCTGTTCTAGCCCTCGCTACGCTGCAGGTCACGTGAGGCTTATGATTGGAGAAGGAGAACGTAGAAGTTTATGCTTGCTTCCGGTCCGCGAGCCCAGAGCACTAACTTGGGGTCTTTTCCGAAGGTGGATGTAGAAGCGGGCGCTGGCCTCCCACTCTCTTTTTCCATTTGGGCTTAGCGTCTGGGTCACTGAGAACGACGTCTGAATAGGGCCCTGGATCCTTGCCATGGATGAAGGTGGTTCCCGCATCCGCCGGCGGGTGTCTCTCCCCAAAAGGAACCGTCCAAGCCTGGGGTGCATTTTTGTCGCTCCCACCGCGGCCGAGCTCGAGCCCGGAGATGAGGGGAAAGAGGAGGAGGAAATGGTGGCTGAGAACAGGAGGCGGAAAACCGCGGGCGTACTGCCGGTCGAGGTACAGCCCCTTCTACTCTCAGATTCCCCCGAATGTCTCGTCCTTGGAGGTGGTGATACAAACCCGGACCTCCTACGTCGCATGCCCACTGACAGAGGGGTGGGAGACCAGGTACGAAGGGCTTGGAACTTGAAACTGCAAAGTTTTGGCATCCTTCCCAGATGCAAAGAGTTGACCAGTTTTATCGCCTTCGTTTACTTTTCTCTTCTTTACCACTGTTAATCGGCACTTAGGAGGTATTGATTGCCTCTATATAAATATGAAATGTAAACCCCGAGACATAAAAGTTGTACACGCAGCAAATAAGTGGCTGACGGAAACACAAATCTAGGCTTCCAAATAACTGCAGCTCCTACTGTACAAGTAAAATCTGCTGTTTATTGAAGACCCATTATGTTAAACTAGTTACATTGTCTAGATTTTACAACAGTAATCAGGCCCTGAAAAGTTGAGATACTACAGTTCTTGCTCCAAATCCTGTTGTCGTAATCACTTTACTATATTGCTGCCTCCAGGTTTGTTTTTCTAATGTGTAGTAGACCACTCCAAGTCAGTATTCAGATTATCAGTCTCAATTCCAAATTCCTAGGAACTCCTTGGAGTGTCTAGGGGTACAACCATGTTTCTGTTACAGGCCAGTTTCTGTAGATTGTAGTCTGGGAGGGAAGCACTGCAGTTATCAGAAACTTCGAATGCACTGACATTTCAGTAGATGTCTACCAGTCTTCCTGCTGTTTTAGTATAGCTTTAACAATTAGAATCTGGCCAAGTGTGGTGTCTCATGCCTATAATCCCAGTGCTTTAGGAGGCCGAGATGGGAGGATCACTTAAGCCCAGAAGTTCAAGTTCAAAACCAGCCTAGGCAACAGAGACCCAGTCTCTATTTAAAAAAAAAAAAAATTTTTTTTTAATTAGCCGGGTGTGGTGGCCTGCACCTGTAGTCCTAGCTACTTGGGAGGCTGAGGCAGGAGGATCGCTTGAGCCCAGGATGTCAAGGCTGCAGTGAGCTGTGATCGTGCAGTGGCTGCCACTGCACTCCAGCCTGGGTGACAGAGCCAGACCCTGTCTCAAAAATTAGAATCTCAGTGTCATTGTAACACTCGTAAACCTGCTGTTTAGCCAAGTAATTTAACCTCTTTGGGCCTCCATTTCTTCAGCTGTAAATTGGTGATATCTATTTACATATAGGTCTGTGATCCATATGTGACCATATAATTATATACTTGGTACAGTCCTAGGCTGAAGTGTTTTTGGGTTTTGTTTTTTTTTTTTTTTTTGAGAAAGAGTCCCACTCTGTTGCCCAGGCTGGAGTACAGTGGCGCAATATCGGCTCACCGCAACCTCCGCTTCCCAGCAATTCTCATGCCTCAGCCTCCAAGTGGCTGGGGCTACTGGAGCGTGCCACTGTGCCCAGCTAGTTTTTGTATTTTCTGTAGAGACTAAGTTTGACCATGTTGGCCAGGCTGGTGAAGTTTTTCTTCTTAATGAAACTGGAATTGACCATAAGCGTTTTTGTTCTTTTTGCAGCATAATGACAGTGAAGAGGACATGTTTGGTGACTATGATAGCTTTACTGAAAACTCCTTTATAGCTCAAGTTGACGACCTGGAACAAAAATATATGCAACTTCCTGAACATAAGAAACATGCTACAGACTTTGCCACTGAAAATCTTTACTCAGAAAGTATCAAAAACAAACTCAGCATTACTAGCATAGGCAACCTTACTGAATTACAAACTGATAAGCACACAGAGAACCAGAGTGGATATGAAGGTGTCACTGTTGAACCTGGAGCTGATCTTTTGTATGATGTACCTTCCTCACAGGCTATATACTTTGAACATTTACAGAAGTCTTCAAATGATTTGGGCAATTGTTCTATGAAAGAAAGGGATTGGAAGTCATCCTCTCACAACACTGTGAATGAGGAACTGCCCCATAATTGCATAGAGCAACCCCAGCAAAATGATGAGACCTCTTCCAAAGTCAGAATTAGTTCAGATATGAACAGGAGAAAAAGTATTAAAGATCATCTAAAAAGTGCCATGACTGGAAATGCCAAGGCCCAGACACCAATATTTTCTAGAAGTAAACATCTCAAAGACACTCTCCTATCTGAGGAAATTAATGTTGCTAAGAAAACAATTGAGTCATCATCAAATGACCTTGGTCCTTTTTATTCATTACCCAGCAAAGTGAGAGACCTTTATTCCCAGTTCAAGGGAATTGAAAAATTATATGGTAATGCTTTTTGCTGAAATAAAAAAATTTTTTTCCTATCATTACCATAATATTAGTGCAAGTCAATGGAAGCGAATGCTTTCATGGTCCATACTAGTTCTCATTTTGAAAACAAAATATTAGTGATCTCTCAACCCCTTCCGTTCCTACCTATCCTGCTACCACTGAACCTCTTTCCTTCCCTCACAGTCACACTTACCAAACCAGTTATCCTTTCTGTCTGTTTCCTTACCTCACATAATTCCTCTAATTCCTCATCTATAAGAAAGGGATAGTAAATTGTTAGGCAAGTTAGATTCTGGTTCAAAGACATGCCAAATTAGATATTGGTAATGATTTTCAATAATTATATTGGTAGCCTCTAAGTAAGAACTTTAGTAAATTACCCCACTCTAATTCTGGGTTCTGTGCTCTCACTTAAGATCTGATGACTAAGATCTGACGTCTAAACACAACGTTACTTTTAATGTTTACCTTACCTGACTTCTCAATAACTTACCTGATGCTGTTGACTACACCCTTCGTGAAATTCTTGTTTCTGGATGTCCTTACACCCACTCCTGTTTTTTGACTCTGATTGTCTAGTAGATCCTCAGTTTTCTTAGCTTGTATTTCCTTGGCTGGCTCTGTCTTCTCTACTAAAACTTAGCTGTTGCAGTATGTCTTGGACACTCACATGTCTTGAGTGAAAGAAATCCATATTAGTAATACTGTTGATTAAACCAAACATCTTTCCCCCCTCACCAGCAGCCGCAGCCACCTCTCTCCACGGGCACATCCCCACCACCACCCAGGTGCTCTGCTTTGTGCTGCCTCTCCCAAAACTAGACATCTTTAAAGACAGCTGCAATTAAGTTTTAAGTCAGTGATGTCCAATCTTTTGGCTTCCTTGGGCCACATTGGAAAAAGTATTGTCTTGAGCCACAGTAAAATACACTAACGATAGCTGATGAGCTAAGAAAAAAAAATTGGAAAAATAAAATCTCATAATGTTTTACAAAAGTTTACAAATTTGTGTTGGGCCACATTCAAAGCCATTCTGGGCCTCATGAGGTCTGTGGGTTGGACAGGCTTGTTTTAAGTGCAAAGAAACAGTAATATTAAGAAGGTATCTTGTAATGTTTTTTAAAAATCCAGGGTCCTTGCATATATTTCAGAAACGTGTCATTTCAGACAAATAAGGGACAGTTGCTGCCATACTGGAAAGTCAGCCCATCAACCTTCCACTTCATGAGTTTTCTGGAACTCCTGTTAGGATCTTATGAATGATATGAAAACTTGGGTTCTTAGGGAGAAGACAGTCAGGTTGGAGCAGAACTACAGGAAACAAAGTCTGATAAAAGACTACAAGAATCTAAATTGTGAGGTTCATGGTTTAAGAGCTAATGGTGTGTATTACCCTGGAAGTAGATGTTAACTTTCTTCTCTCTGCTTTTCTCCTAGCACCTTGCTTTTTGTTTAGTCTGCCAGAATGAACACCCTGAGGACAGGGCTCTATCTAACTCACCTTTTTCTTAACTAGCACTGTGCCTGGTACACTCTGGTAGGTTCTCAGCTGCTGGGGGTTGTCACTTAACAATGCAACTTTAGCACTCTGGGCCTAGTTCCTTGTCTATAAAAAGGGATAAATTTTTTGCAAGTTAGAGGCTGTGTTAAGGACATGCCAAATTAGATGCTGGTAATGAGTGTCAGTAATTATATTGGTAGCTTCTAAGTAAGAACTTCAGTAAATAACAACTTTTAAAATCTTTTTACCTTTAAATCTGGCTTAATAACATGACAGGTTAAAGCATAAATACATGTGCTGCTTTTTATTAAGCTAAAGCAGTGGTTCTCAAGTGTGGTTCCTGGACTGCAGCATCAATGTCACCTGGAAATTTGTTGAAGCACGTGTTCTCAGACACTTCCCCAGACCTACTGCATCAGAACCTCTAGGAGTACGACCTCGCAGTCTATGATCATGGCTCACTACAGCGTCAACCTCCCAGGCTCAAGCAATCCTCCCACTTCAGCCTCCAAAGTTGTGGGGACTATAGGCATGTGCCATCCTAGCCGGCTAATTTTTTTGTATTTTGTAGAGATAGGGTATCATTTTGTTGCCTAGGCTGGCCCTGAACTACTCTCAGCCTCCCAAAGCGTTGGAATTACAGATATGAGCCATTGTACCTGGCTAATTTATTTTTTTGATGTGAAGATTATATTCATATATATTATTTTGTCATGTTATACTTAAAAATCTGAATTGGATAAAATGTGGCTATGGTTACATTATATTTTGGCATAAACATCTAATTTGATAACTCGGGTGATACCAATCGGAAGTATTTTTCAATATTTATTCAGTATTAAATTTAAGTATTTTTGAAATATTTTTAAAGAAAACATATTCACAGTCACTTGTAGTATTTGGGAATCACCCAAAAGCACAATAAGTTAAAGTCACTTGTAACTGTCTTTCAGATATAACTTTCTTTTTTTTTTTTTTTTTTTTAATAGAGATGGGCTCATCTTGAAATCCTGGTTGCAAGTGATCCTCCTGCCTTAGGTTCCCAAAGTGCTGGGATTACAGACGTGATCCACCACTCCGGGCCAATGATCTGCTTTTTTTTTTTTTTTATATATACTTACCTGTATATTGAACATACATAGATCCATCTACAGTTCATTTTTAAACTGCAAAGAATCACATTGGATGATTGTACAATAATTTATTCAGCCTTTACCCCTGCCACCATGGCACTTTGTCACCTACCAACAATGCTGTGTGAACATCCTGCAAATAATCTTTATATGCTTTGGCTTCCGTTCTGTAGATGTAGAATCCCAAAAGTAATACTGCCAGATCAAAGGCAATGTGCAGTTCTATTTTTTATACTAGGTTACTTTCCACAAGGATTCTAGCAGTTTGTGTTCTCACAACCATACATGAGATTGGCTGTTTTTCCCCCACGTTAGTCAGCTCTGGATTTTACATGTGTGGGGCTTTTTCTTTTTTGGTAGTTACTTGTTTTTTATTTTAAAAATTAATTTTGCCAACCCAGTAGAGAACAGTTGAGCATCTTCTCATGTATTTATTGGCCATTTGCATTTCTGCTGTTTATTGACCATCTATTTATTGGCCATTTGCCATCTGCTGTGAAATGTCTTAGATTTTTTGCTCATTTTTCTAGTGATAAAACACTGAAGCACATCTTTAAAGACTTTTGATGATTTTTATTGTCAAATTATCCTACAGAGTAATTAATACTAGTTTTCACATAATATCTTGGATCTGATCTATTTTCATGAATCCCGCCTTGCCTAATTGTGGGAATCCTAGACGTGCCAGTTAATAATTCTAGTCTTTTGTGGTTTAAACAGTCTTAACCGTTTAAAATGGTTTTGGACCCATTCAAAATTCAGGTCTCCATGAGAGCTAGTTAAAGTTTTTATTGGTTTGTGTAAAACCTAATAGGTTTGTTTCCCTCTTCCCCCTACACTTCTCTCTGAGATGGCTTTTGGCTGAATGAGGAAGGGAAGCTTACATAATCTCCTTGCAGAACATAAGAGGAAGACATTAGAATTCACATAGGTCCTTGTACTGTCCCTTTGTTCCTCTGATATCCCAGATGGCACTCCTTGTCCACAAGGCTGCTACCTGCCCTGCTGTAATATTGGACCCATGTCTGCAGCTGGTGAATAAATGGGCTGGTTGCCCACCTTGTTGCCTAGGCCTGAACTAGGCTCACTGGCTGTACTACTTGCACATTTGGGATTTTTGACATGTGCCATTGGTTATAATTACATTTATGAGAAGATTGCCCCACAGGAAGGGATTTGATTTTTTTCTTAGAAAACTTTTGAGTTTCAAAGGTTGGAAGGAGAAAATAATGCCTTTTTTTTTAATTCCACAGAATGGCAACATACTTGTTTAACATTGAATTCTGTGCAAGAAAGAAAAAATTTAATATATTCATTGCCAACAAGTGGTGGAAAAACCCTCGTAGCTGAGATTTTAATGCTACAAGAACTGCTTTGCTGTCGGAAAGATGTTTTAATGATTCTTCCATATGTGGCAATTGTCCAAGAAAAGGTGTGTGTATGTGTGTGTGCGCGCGTGTGTGTTTTAAAACAAATGTTATTTGCTAATACTTTGACATTAAGATCTGAAAACTAGCCTAAATGTAGTAATTTTGTATTGTTGGGAAGCACCTCTTTTTTTAAAATTTTATTTATTTATTTATTTATTTTTTGAGATGGAGTCTTGCTGTGTCACCCAGGCTAGAGTGCAGTGGCATGATCTTGGCTCACTGCAAACCTCCGCCTCCCAAGTTCAAGCAATTCTCCTGCCTCAGCCTCCCGAGTAACTGGGATTACAGGCCTGTGCCACCATGCCCAGCTAATTTTTGTATTTTTAGTACAGATGGGGTTTCACCATGTTGGTCAGGCTGGTCTCAAACTCCTCATCTCCAGTGATCTGCCCACCTCAGCCTCCCAAAGTGCTAGGATTATAGGCATGAGCCACTGCGCCTGGTGAGAAGTATCTCTTGATGGAGAATTAATATTTTTAGGATATATAAAAGTAGTATACACTACTTAAAATCTCTTCAAATACTAATTACCTGTTGCTGAAAGTTTTATATTTTCTGAACTATTGGATTAAACATCATCTTAAATGTTCTATTACTATTTACCCTGCTTTTTCTTTTTTGAGATGGAGTCTCCCTTTGTTGCCCCGGCTGGAGTGCAGTGGCACAATCTCTGCTCACTGTAACCTCTGCCTCTTGGGTTCAAGTGATTCTCCTGCCTCAGCCTCCCAGGTAGCTGGGATTGCAGACGTGCGCCACCGCACCGTTTCATCATGTTGAATGGGCTGGTCTCGAACTTCTGACCTGAAGTGATCCTCCCACTCTGGCCTCCCAAAGTGCTGGGATTACAGGTGTGAGCCACTGTGCCCGGCCTTACCTTGCTTTTTCAAGCAGAAACTATTATTAAAATGAGTTATTCTGATTTTTTTTTTTTTTTTTTTTTTTTGACAGAGTGTTGCTCTGTCGCCCAGGCTGGAGTACAATGGCGTGATCTCAGCTTACTGCAACCTCTGCCTTCCAGACTCAAGCAATTCTCATGCCCCACCCCCCACCCAGCAGCCAGAATCACAGGCACACGCCACCACGCCCAGCTAATTTTTATATTTTTAGTAGAGATAGTGTCTCACCATGTTAGCCAGGCTGATCTAAAACTCCTGACCTCAAGTGATCCACCTGTCTCAGCCTCCTAAAATGCTGAGATTACAGGCATGAGCCACCATGCCCCTGATGCTTTTTGACATCAAAGGAGACAGTTGAAATTTATTTTCACATGTATTTTAGAAGTTGCATTTGTTTTGCAAAGATCAAGACATTACAGCATTTCTTATGTATGTCTTACCTGTGACCTTGTTCCTGTTGATGGGTATTAAACACTACTTGATGGGTATTAAACACTACTTGATGGGTATTAAACACTACAAGCTTTTTTGAACCCCATGAACATCTAATGGAGTTTTTATCTGTGTTTTTTGGTTTTGTTTATTTTATCTATTTATTTATTTATTATTTATTTTTGAGTCAGGGTCTTGCTCTGTCACCCAGGCTGGAGTGCAGTGGCATGACCAAGGCTTACTGCAGCCTCAATTCCATGGGCTCAAGGAATCCTCCCACCTCAGCTTCCTGAGTAGCTGAGTCTACATGCCTGTGCCACGATGGCCAGCTAATTTTTTATTTTTTATAGAGATGAGTTCTCACTGTGTTGCCCAGGCTGGTCTCACCCTCCTGGGCTCAACTGATCTTCCCACCTCAGCCTCCCAAGGTGCTGGGATGACAGGCATTGGCCATAATGCCTGGCCTGTTTTTCTTTATTGTAACTAATATTCTAGATTTCAGGTTTGTCAAGTTTTGGTGTAGAACTTGGTTTCTTTGTTGAAGAATATGCTGGAAGCAAAGGAAGATTTCCTCCAACGAAAAGAAGGGAAAAGAAATCGCTATATATTGCCACTATTGAAAAAGGACATAGCTTGGTGAACTCCTTGATTGAAACTGGAAGAATTGACAGTCTGGGTCTGGTTGTTGTAGATGAGGTTGGTTAATACTTTTGTAATTTGTCAACATTTTTATTATACTAAATATTTATTATTCTGGTTATTGTGTGGATCTGCTTAGTACCTTAGGACCTCTATAAAAATAAATTTATTTTAACATATAGACAATATAGGTGAAGACATTCTATGCTTGATAATCTTAAATTTGGTTTTGTGTCAAGTGTTTCTTAAAGTGTGAACACATATGTGTGCAGTATACAATTTTATAGGCCGGGCGTGGTGGCTCACACCTGTAATCCTAGCACTTTGGGAGGCCAAGGCAGGTGAATCACTTGAGGTCAGGAGTTCAAGACCAGCCTGGCCAACAGATGAAACCCTGTCTCTACTAAAAATACAAAAATTAGCTGGGCGTGGTGGTGGGCGCCTGTAATCCCAGCCACTCGGGAGGCTGAGGCAGCAGAATCACTTTAACCCAGGAGGTGGATGTTGCAGTGAGCCAAGATTGCACCATTGCACTCCAGCCTGGGGGTCAAGAGCCAAACTCCGTTTCAAAAAAAAATTTTTTTAATAGTACTTATGAATCCCAGATTTATAAGGATTTTGTACAAAAAGCTCATTATCCTAAATACCAGTGAAATAATATACATGTATTATAGTTGTTATATTCAAAATACTTGAGAGTTATAAGCAACTCTTTACAAACAAATTTCATATGAATATATGCATGTTTTATATGAGCATTATATGAAGATTTACTTCTTTGCCTTTTTAAAAAAAATCTCGAAGTTGCACATGATTGGTGAAGGAAGCCGTGGAGCTACACTGGAAATGACCCTAGCAAAAATCCTCTACACTAGCAGTAAGTATTTTTTAAATGAGGTCATGAATTGATTTATAATCAAGAGACTTATAAAACACTTAATTCTATCACTAGCTGCATTATGTAACCTAAAGCAAGATACTTAAGCTTTTTGCCTTTGTTTTAAAATTTCTAATGTATAGAATTTTGAAGGTAAATGAAATTGGTATTTGAAGAAGTCCTCTATTATTATCCGCCACTTAACAGCTATGTGTGCCCAGGCACATCTCTCAACCCCTATGTTTCTTTATTTGTAAAACAAGGATAATAATGGTATCAGCCTGATGGAATTGTTGTAAAGATTGTGTGAGTTAACACATTATTGCATTCAGCAGTGCTTAGCACACTGCATTCAGTAAGGGTTTGCCGCTGCTACTGCGGCTATCTTCATCACCACCATAATATATATAATATAAATATAATAATAATATTGTAAAGCACTACATTTAAATAGGTCACTTTACGGAGCTATTTTACAGCATCAGGTAGTCTTTAAAGTATATGAAAAATTTATTCTAAATGTCATAGCCTACTATTGATATGCTATTGCAATATTTACCGTATATATGGAAAATTTAACTATAAAGGTCAAATCTTAAAAAGTATTTAAAAAATTTCAACAGCAATAATATTTAAGCAGGTTATAGCATTTTGTAATTGTTCATTCAAAAAAATATTGATCACCTACTGTGTGCTAGGCACTACTTTAAGTGCTAGGGATACAGCAGTGAATAAAACAGTCCCTGCTTTCATCAAGCCTGTATTTTAGAGCATTCCTATTTGACTATTCTATGAACAGCTAAGCCTAACTAAGGCTTAGTCTGAGCCCAACTCATTGCCTTCAAAGCCATTCTTCAGCCTGAATTCTCAACCAGCACTCTCCAGCCAGCCAAGCCAGGATCCTACATATTCTATCAGCAACCAAATCCTATCTGGTTTACCTCATAAATATATTTTTACTTCTCTCTCTCCTATCCCTCATTACCACTAAGTCTTTAGTTCAGTACCTCATCCTTTCTACCTGAATTGCCACAGAAATCACCAAGTTCTTCTGTCTACCCACTGCCCTTCATCCACCAAATCCATCTTTCTTTAGCGCAAGTAGAATGATCTTTCCCAAAATATAAATCCTATTAGTTTATTTTACTGTTTACCATTCTTTAATAGCTTCCCTTTCTGCATAAATCCCTAATTTCTTAGTACAGCCTTTCTTGATTTGGCCCCATGCCCACCTCTTCAGCTTCATAGTCTATCCTTATAGAATGAGAAGGATACTCCCAATTATTTCTCTTTCAGCCAGTTTCTTGAATGACTATTTCAAGACATAGGAGCAATGAAGAAACATTTGCAAAGAAGGCCTATTTGGGTTTTCATTCAATAGCTAAGTCTATAGAAAGTATCCATTTTGTATTGCCCAGGATGTCATATGGCTTCACAAGCTTCACTCCACCTTTATTTAAAGCAATAACATCACCAAAAACTGTAGTCCCAGCTACTCGGGAAGCTGGGGCAGGAGAATCGCTTGAACCCAGGAGGTGGAGGTTGCAGTGAGCCGAGATCATGCCACTGCACTCCAGCCTGGGCAACAGAGCAAGACTCTGTCTCAATAAATAAATAAATAAATAAAATTAAAAGTTAGCTTGATAGCAAGATCTCATAAAGGACTTTTCATGGGCCAAGAGTTGGAGACTCATTTAGCCCTCTATCCTACTAACTGTACGTCTGTCTATAGCCATACCTGTGGAACATATCATGCTTTTCGTAAAGGGGATCCAGATAGTTAAAAGCAAATTTATACTCATTATTATTGTTTAGAAGCCTTAATATCCTACTTCTTGCCAAATTTAAAACTCGATAAACTTCTAAGTAGTAACTTTCAGGATACCTGAAAAATTTCATTCTTCAAATGCCAGATTAATACTCTGGTAATATATTTGTAGTTTTCTTTTTTTAAGAGGTCAGGTCTCACTGTTGCCCAAGCTACAGTGCAGTGACACGATCATGGCTCACTGCAGCCTTGACCTCCTGGGCTCAAGCGATCCTCCTACCTCAGTCTCGTAAGTAGCTGGGACTACAGATGTGCACTACCATGCCCAGGTAATTTTTAAGTTTTTTGTAGAGATGAGGTCTTACTGTGTTGCCCAGGCTAGTGTTGAAGTCCTGGCCTCAAGCAATCTTCCCAGCTCAGCCTCCCAAAGTTGGCACCCAGCTATTTGTATTTTTCTTACTTACTTCTCCCACCCCTTTCCCAAATCACTCAGGAAGAATTCAGAGCACAAAAGATTTGCTAAAATTACTTTATGATATATTACATAATATATTTTCCTTAACACTTTGGCTTTTGTTTGTTTGTGTTTTAGGAACAACTCAAATTATTGGTATGAGTGCAACATTAAACAATGTTGAAGACCTACAAAAGTTTCTTCAAGCAGAATATTATACCAGTCAATTTAGACCAGTATGTACCTAAGGTTTGCACTGTATTGATTTGTTTTGTATTCATCTAACTTAGAAATGAAAGTAGTAAACATAGGATTTAAATAATTCTATAGAGTACCAAAGGGGCATATTTTACTCACCATGACGATATACCAATAAGAGGTTGTGTATAGAGAATTTAAGAGTTTGTGTCTAGGTCAGGGATCTTGGGTTGGGTCACTAATGTATCTATAGCCTGGCCCACAGGCCCTCAGTGAACATTCATTGAATGAGTTTTCCCAGACCCCCATTTTATTTTTTCACTCCTTATTCTTTAAACTACATTTTTTTATTTGGCAAAATTTTAGTGAGACATGTTTTGAGTTATTGGCACATTAAAAAATTTATCTTAAAATTTAAATATTTTAAAATATTTATATGTTAGTAGTTATAATACTTTTTTTAAAAGTAAAGGCTTCACATGGATTTACGTGTAAACTCCTCAATAGCAGCATTCTCAAAATGCTCGAAGAAAGTAAACAAATGTAATTTGTAGCTATTTGAAAATAGCTTGTAATGTGTATATATTTGTGTGCAGTACTAATGTGTATGTTTTGTATCTAAATAGGTTTTCAGTGTCTAAGTCGGTTTTCAGAAAATAATTTTTTTTAATTGCTAAATTTTAATTTGAAATTTGATGTTTTAGCCGGGTGCAGTGGCTTAGACCTGCAATGCCAACACTTAAAGAGGCAGGGGCAGGAGGATTGCTTGAGTCCAGGAGTTTTAAGACCAATCTGGGCAACATGGCAAGACTCCCATCTCTACAAAAAATTTAAAAATTAGGGCAGTTGGGTGCAGTGGCTCACACCTGTAATCCCAGTACTTTGGGAGGCCAAGGCGGGCAGATCATGAGGTCAAGAGATCGAGACTATCCTGGCCAACATGGTGAAACCCCGTCTCTACTAAAAAGTACAAAAATTAGCTGGGCATGGTGGCACATGCCTGTAGTCCCAGCTACTTGGGAGAGTGAGGCAGGAGAATCGCTTGAACCTAGTGGGGTGGAGGTTGCAGTGAGCCAAGATTGCGCCACTGCACTCCAGCCTTGCGACAGAGAAAAAAAAAATTAGGGAATAGTAGTGCTCACATATAGTCCCAGCTACTTGAGAGGCTGAGGTGGGAGGATCACTTGAGCCCAGAAGGTCGAGGATACAGTAAGTTGTGTTTGTGCCACAACACCCCAGCCTGGACTACAGAGTGATGATGCTATCTCCAAAAAACAAAAAGAAAAAAAAGGTGTTTTTACATTTGTACCAGATATGAACATTTTCGAGAGAGATTTTTTGAACTTAATTGCCACATTAGACATTGTTATTGTTATTAATAAAATGCAATGAGCTGTGTTTACAAACTGTTTTTGTCTACAAATACTGAAAATGATGTGGTGGTATTTAGAATTAAAACTGATTTTAGAATTAAAACTGATGAGTAATAAGTAATCCTAGCACTTTGAAAGGCTGTGGTGTGAGGATTGCTCAAGCCCAGGAGTTCAAGACCCGCCTGAGTAACATAGAGGCACCCTATCGCTATAAAAATTAGCCTGGTGTGGTAGTGCATGCCTGTCATCCGAGCTACTGAGGAGGCTGTGGGAGGATAGCGTGAGCCCTGGAGGTTGAGGCTGCAGTGAGCTGTGATCATGCTACTGCACTCCAGCCTGGGTGATAGAGTGAGACTCTGTCTCAAAAGAAAAAAAGAAAAAAGACAAAGTTTTAGATCTTGAGACATAAGACAGGTAACACCTTAGTAAAAGATAAGAACACCAAGACTGACACTTTTCGTGACAAATACAGAAGTGTGTGGTTTCTTTTTGGATATGATGTTTACTTAATTCAAACATATTTCTTCAAGGATATTGATCCCTATTTTGATTTAAAGGGAAAAAGAGACCAAAAAAGAAGAAGAACAAGAAATGGTAAAGCAAGAACTTTTAAGTTGAAGCATGTTTTATATATCTTAGAAAAGCTAAAATCTTTTATAGCTGTCCTTTTTTAAGCTATTTTATAACATTTAAAACTCTGGAAAGAGGAATTTATATGTGGTATTAATTGCAAATGTCCTTTTAATTCAAGGTTGAATTAAAAGAATATCTGAAAATAAATGATACAATATATGAAATTGACAGCAAAGCTGAGAATGGCATGACTTTTTCACGCCTCCTTAATTATAAGGTAATGTTGATAACCTTTAAATTCCAGGTTACCAGACTTTGTGTCTAGGGCACCACAGAAGTTTCCGGTGGGTTCCGTAGAATAGTTTACATTCTTGCGAGACACAGCTGATGCTTGACATTTGTTGGACACCATGCAGACTACCAGTTCAAGATAGCTCATTTCCAATTTTAACATTAGATCACACCATATTCTTTTCTATGACATCATATCTTTGTGAAGTTGGGGTTTTTGCGGTTGCTGTAAGTACTGTGTGAAAATCAATCTGGAACAGAAAAGAATAGCTGTGTCCAGTCTTATTCCAGAGTTTGAAAGACAGTACCAAGTTGTGCACACATCCCATTAGTGAGCTGTTGTGGTTATTTAAAAATGAAATAAAAATATTTTTTCATTCAACTGATATGTATTATTTATTCTAACAGCTACTAAGTTGTGATGAAGTACATATTTATTAAGTTCTTTGGACCTCACTATTTAATTAACAAAACTGTTAAGTATTTCTTTTGGCATTGGGGCTGTGAACCGAGAAAATTTGGAAACCTCTTCTGTAAATGCTTATTCATTTAACAACAACAGAAGAATAATTTATGGACCATGTGGTTCAGATATTGGTGTATTAAAATGTTAATGTCTACTATGTAAATTTTAGTGTTTTATGACTTATATGAAGGATATTACAAAGGGGAAGAAGAGATTATATAGTAGTTTTAGAATTCTCTGAAGGTATGTTATTCTAAAGCTATGTCTTCATTAGTTTTTAGTAAAGTTGAAGAAACAGATTTTAAATAACTTCACATTTTTTCTTCATGTTCTTTGTGTTCCTCGTGTCACTACAAAAATTGTTATAATTCAGTAGTATGATTGAATCTGTGTTTTTGAAAACAGGCTATTATTAGGACCCATTTGTGTTTCTCTCTGTGGGACTTTTTGTTCTGCTGTGATGGAGATGGGCATGTAGTGAGGCTATTAATAACTAACTATTTTCACTTCTTTAATTTTCTTTAATTCACTTCTTTAATTCTAGTTTTTTTAGACTAACTAGACCTAAGAAAATCATAATAACCTAAAAAAAAAGTGAGATTGAACATTTTGATTCTTAATATAGATTTCATCTTTTAAATGATCAGATTATTAAATTAGAAGTTTAGAATTATAGATGGTTTATTTACCTTCAAATCACACTGGTAAAAAAATTGACAGGGTTTCATGTTTACTAACCACCTTGTTCCTACATCCTGTTGTTTTGCAGTATTCTGATACCCTAAAAAAGATGGATCCTGATCACTTGGTAGCATTGGTTACAGAAGTTATTCCCAATTATTCCTGCTTAGTTTTTTGTCCTAGTAAGAAGAACTGTGAAAATGTAGCAGAAATGATATGCAAATTTTTAAGCAAGTATGTTAATTTTTTTAAATATCCTGTTTTATTGTTATTATGAATTACAGACTGTGTATTATGTTGATTGGGCAAACACTAATTATGCCTCGCAAAACATCATATTGAGTTGTTACAGTATACTAAAGGCCTTGACCTTGAAGAAAGAAATTTTAACTGTGAAAATCACATGTGAAATAGCCAGAGAAATGGGTTCTAAGGTAGCTGGGTGCCGTGGCTCATGCCTGTAATCCCAGCACTTTGGGAGGTTGAGGCAGGCGGATCACTTGAGGTCAGGAGTTCAAGACCAGCCTGGCCAACATAATGAAACCCCGTCTCTACTAAAAATACAAAAAATTAGTTGGGTGCGGTGCCTTGCACGTGTAATCCCAGCTATTGGGGAGGCCGAGGCATGAAAATCTCTTGAACCTGGCAGGCGGAGGTTGCAGTGAGCTGAGATCGCACCACTACACTCCAGCCTGTGTGACAGAGCAAGACTCCATCAAAAAAAAAAAAAAAGAAAGAAAAAGAAAACTCTAAGGTAACATGTAAGAGAATGTTAAGTAATATAATGGCTTAGGTCAGTGGTTCAAAACCTTGGCTGCATAGTGAATCATCATGGAGGCTTTTAAAAATTCCAAAGCCCAGGCTACATCTTAGATAAATCAGAATTTCTGGGAGTGATACCCAGATATCATTTTGTAAAACTCCCCAGGCAAGTCCAACATATAGCCAAAGACAGGAACCACTGGTTTAGTCAGTCAAAGGACTAATCGCTGTTTACCACTGTGGAGATGAATTGTATCTTCCATTGCCTTTTTTTTTTCTTTTCCTTTTTTTTTTTTTCCTGAGACAGGGTTTCACTCTGTCACCTATGCTAGAATGCAGTGACACAAACACAGCTCACTGCAGCCTCCATTTCCTGGGCTCAAGTGATCCTCCCACCTCAGCCTCCCAAGTAGCTGGGACTACAGGCACACACCACTACTCCCAACTAATTTTTTGTAATTTTGGTAGAGATAGCATTTCACCATGTTGCCCAGGCTGGTTTTGAACTCCTGAGCTCAAGCAATCCGCCCCCCATAGTCTCCCAAAGTGCTGGAATTACTGGCGTGAGCCACTGTACCTGGCCTGCCTTTGTTTTCTTAGTAAACTTCACACTTAAGTTGTATGGACATTTGGATATAATTTCCTGAGTAAGAAATGTATTGGCTTGTAATTTTGTAGTGTCTTAATATTGGCTCTGTCATATTCATAGAGATAAGTTTGAAGTTACTGTAAGTACTAACAGTTCAGTTTTTTATGCACCTGTTTGTCTCATGTGTGGTTTTATCATCTTCTGAAATTTCTTTCATCTCCTTAGCTAATGCGGTATCACTATTCATAGTCTATTAACCTGAATGCTAATCTTGTCAACCTCTACCTCCTCTTTCAATCCTACTGTCATGGATTGGTCTAAGATAGACTTAAATTTATTGAATAGCAAAAGATAAAAATGTTTGGGATAACAGGAAGGAGTCACTCATTTTGGTAACAGTCTGCTTTTACAACGATTTTGATTATAAAAACTTAAGGACATTAAATTATTGAAAAAAAGTATTCTCAGTAAATCATTCATTTTCTTAGAATAATTCAAGGTAGTAAGATGGAGACACTGGCTAAGTGATGGAAACATTGCAGGATATGAATGAAGTTTCTAAAGTGCTAGTGTTTAGACAGTGTTTTACCATAGAAGTATGATTTAATAATATATATGTTTCCATCTTCAGAGAAGAAAATTTATGTCTTAAAAAAACTATTCCCTATAAAGACATATATTATAAAGAAAAAACAGCTATAACATCCAGAGCAAAGGTCTAAACCTGGTGTCCATGGATTCAAAGGAAGTACAGGAATGAATTTCGGGAAATCCACAAACCCTCTGAAATTATATGTAAAGTGTTATATTTATGTAAATTGTTGTATTTTTCCTTTTTTTTTTTTTTTTGGGACAGGGCTTTGGCTTTGCTCTGTCACCCAGGCTGGTAAGTTCATAGCTCATTGCAACCTCGAACTCCTGGGTTCAAGCAATCATCCCACCTCATCCTCCCCTGTAACCTGGGACTACAGGTGCACGCACCACTGTGCCTGGCTAATTTTTGTTGTTTTTTGTTGGGAGGTGGTCTCACTTCGTTACCCACAGTGATCTCGAACTCCTGGGCTCCAGCAATCCTTCTGCCTCCACCTCCCAAAGTGCTGGGATTACAGGCGTGAGCCATCGCACCCCACCTTTCCTTAGTTTTGATAAGATTTTCACAAGGTTCTGTAATCCACAGAAAGATTAAGAGACTGCCTAATAGTTAATGAAGTCAGAATCAAAATTCTAAGAACATTTAATGTACTTAACTCAATGAAAATAGTACATTAAAGAATGTTTACATTAGCATCTACTAAAATGAAAATGGTAGGAATTTTGTCACTAAAAGATCAAGGGTTCATATTTCTAACAGATCTTTTTCATAGGGAATATCTGAAGCACAAGGAGAAAGAAAAATGTGAGGTAATTAAGAACTTGAAGAATATTGGCAATGGCAACCTGTGTCCTGTTTTAAAGCGCACTATCCCATTTGGAGTTGCCTATCACCATAGTGGCTTAACAAGTGATGAAAGGAAACTCTTGGAGGAGGCCTACTCCACAGGAGTGCTTTGTCTTTTTACCTGCACATCTACCCTAGCAGCAGGTGTCAACCTACCAGCTCGAAGGTAAGAGATAAGTAAATGTTGACCAGGCTCAGAACTTTTCCATCTCTAGCTTGCAAGGAGTTTTGTTGTTTTATGCTTTCTCCATAGTGGCTGAGAATTTAGCAAATGTTCTTTTAGCATATGCTGAGTTGATTGGTTGGTTTATTTTCTTTAATATTTTAATGAATATTTAATGAAATATGTGATGAAAAATAATGTTAGTAGATTTCTTGATTTAGAATTCCATCCTTTTATGTTCTTTATATCTGGTTTTGATGTTAGGGTTTATTAATCTGGTTGTGTAGAAATAGTTGGCAAATGTTTCACCTTTTTTATGATCTGAAAGAGTTTATTTAATGTAGAGATTTCCTTGAAATCTTGGAGAGCTGATCCATAAGGCAATTTGAGTCTAATATATATATTTTAAAGCAGATCCTTGATTACCTTTTCAGTTATTACCAAAGGTATGGGCCTGTGTAATTGACTTATACCCTTTATAATTTATGATCCTGGAGTATTTTGCTAATAAATGATCAACTTTTATAAACTTTTCATGAGTGTTTAAAAAATATGTATTTTCAGTTGAATATGCAGTTTTATACATCTCATTGAGATCACAGTTGTTCATTGTGTTTTCAGCTTCTCTATTTTCCTACTATATTTGATTCCTTGGTCTATCAATTTCAGAGAAGTGTGTTAGTTTCCTACTTAAATTATGTAGTTGTCAGTTTCTCCTTTTTGCATTTCTAGAAGTCATTACTTTTTATATTTCAAAACTATTTAGATATACAAAGGTTTACTTCAAATATCTTATTGCTGAATTATACCTTTTATCAATACAATAAGTACTCATTTTGCTCATTTAATAATTTTGCTTTGCATACCAGGACTTATTTTTTTTTTTGCCAAGTATGTACCCTTTTCCATTCTTTTATTTTCAATTTCTGTCTCTGATTAAGTTTTCCATTTTTCAGACAATCGAATAAAAAAATGAAAGTTACATATCCTATTTCTGTTATTCCAGTGGTTACTCTTAAAATTTTAAGTTGTAATCAAACATTTGTTAGTACTTTAGAATTAATCAATAACTATCCTCTCCTGAACATAACAAGAGGCCTAGCATGTCCTTAATGTGTTCTACTCTGCCCCATGAATGTTGCAATTACCTGGAATTTTAGTGCCAGGTTTTAAATTTTTTTTTTTTTTTTTTTTTTTTTTGAGGCGGAGTCTTCGCTTCTACCGCCCAGGCTGGAGTGCAGTGGCACCATCTCGGCTCACTGCAAGCTCCGCCTCCCGGGTTCGCGCATTTTTCCTGCCTCAGCCTCCCGAGTAGCTGGGACTACAGGCGCCCGCCACCGCGCCCGGCTAATTTTTTTTTTTTTGTATTTTAGTAGAGACGGGGTTTCACCGTGTTCTTTCATCTTATATAGTAATTCTTTAAACTTACCTGTAAATCATACTTGTTTTTTGCTTACCACTGCCTCTTATATCCCACATCTTTTTTCTCTGATTTTTTTTTTTTTTAATTTTGCCTTCCTTGAGTAATACTTTTTAGAATGCTGCTTTGGGGTAAAACATTTTGACTCTCTGCATAGTTGAAGATATCTGTATTTTGGCCTCACACTTTAACACACAGTTCACTAGCAAAAGAATTCTAGATTCAATTTTTTTCCTTTAGGGACTTTGTAAATATTGTTCCATATTTTCTAGAGGCCAATGTTGCTCATTTTTGTCTCTGCATGGATTTGCTGTTTTTCTTTTCCAGAAGCTTTTAGACTTTTCTCTTTCACCTTCCAATTTCCTCATGGTGTATAATAATAGTTGTAGTTACTACATTCCCCTCCCCTTCTTCATGTAGTAACAACTTTACATGCGTTGACTTCAGGGAGCTTCACAACAACTCTGTGAGGAAGGTCATATTTTATTACATACCTATTATAGAACGGGAAACTGAGGCACTGAATAGTTAAATAACTTTCCCAACTTTATATGCAACAAATGAGTTTTAAAGCCAAGGTTTGAACCCAGGAAGTTTGATTTTACAATCCCAACATTACTACTTTTCATTCACAGGGCTTAGCACTTGGGTGGATGCTTTTAATCTAAGCTTTTTGCCTTTCCTCTTTGAGTAATTTTTTTCGATTATTTCTTTTTCTTCCCATTATCTCTGTTCCTTGCTTTTATAATTTCACTTAGACAGGATCGAGGCCTCTTAGATTCAGCTTTCATATCTTTTCTTACACATTTTTCATAGTGTGTGAGAATGTAAGCACATATTTGTGCCATGTGATTTTTTTCAACTTTATCTTCCATATTAAAAAATCAGTTTTTTGTAATCCCAGCACTTTGGGAGGCAAAGGTGGGAGGATCACTTGAGCCCAGGAGTTTGAGACCAGCCTGAACAACATAGCAAGAACCTCATCTCTATTAAAAAATTAAAAAAATTAGCTGGGTATGGTAGCATACACTTGTGATCCCAGCTGCTCGAGAGGCTGAGGTGGGAAGATTGCTTGAACCCAGGAGATTGAGGCTGCAATTAGCTGTGATTGTACCACTGCACTCCACCCTGGGCGACAAAGAGACCTTGTCTCAAAAAAAGAAAATCAGTATTTACCTGTATCCATGAACTATTCTCATTCATTATTCAATTCTTCAATATAATTTTCTTTTTTCTTTTCTTTCTTTTTTTTTTTTGAGACAAAGTCTCGCTCGGTTGCCCGGTGCCCAGGCTGGAGTGCAGGGGTGCGGTCTCGGCTTACTGTAACTTCCACCTCCTGGGTTCAAACGATTCTCCTGCCTCAGCCTCCCAAGCAGCTGGGATTACTGGTGCCCACCACCACACCTGGCTAATTTGTGTGTTTTTAGTGGAGACAGGGTTTCACCATGTTG